ACATTTTGGGAAAATGTTTTTCACAAACATTACTTGTCACGCACAACGAGTCTGTGTGGAAAATGTCAGCTCGATGGGATCACGGGAAGTGGGATAAAAAACGACCGAAAGATTTGCACGGTCCTAAGCAAGCAAGCAAGTGAACTTAATATAAAGGATTTAAAATTACAGGGAGAGTCCAGAAAAACTTAAGAAAATAATTTAAAAGTGGTTATAATCCTAGACAGGTGTTTAATCTGCTCCCAACACCTCCAATCAAACAGAAATAATCCACTCCTCAAGGTAAGATCATAACAATTATAGGTTAGGTAAAATATTTTTAAAATCCTGTTTAAGATTGTGCTTTTTTTACACTAAAATGATTTTCTGTTCAATTTATTGCTTAACAATTTCACAAATACGTTTTCTATTAAAAAATAAAACTTTAAGGTGTACAGGGCTGCTTCGAAATGCTCAATTTTTTTTCCAATAAAGTGTTTGATAAGTATAAGCGCTGTTTGAAGGTTGTTGAACTCATAATTGTTTATAAATATGTACGTTATGTGTTGTATGAACACATAAGGTGCGCAATATTTCCCTAAGTTACGGTCCCTATCCTTACCTTATTCCATTGTTTCTTATGGGAGAAATTGCCCTGCTTTGCGTCGCATCGGCAATATTTAGGTTATTACGGTCCCTATACCACCCGCCATTTCCATGTATTCCTATTGAGTAAAAGTCCTCGTTATACATCGTTTCATTATAAGTCGCAACTTTCTGGTCCCTAACACCTGACATATATTGAGGACCTCGTCTATAAAGAGTGGTTGCCTGCGATAGGTCGAAACCGCCAACGATAAACCCGTGATATTCAAGGGTCTGCTGTACTGTAAACCAAAAGTGATATCCTAACCTGTTACGAGAATCCTCTTATACTTACACCAGCCTCTTGAAGTTTACTCTGTGCCTGTTTGCCAAAGAACACCTTCATCGCACACTATACCACCAAGCTGTGAATGTTCCTGCCATGTGAAGGACCGGAAGTGAAAGTACATTTGTAATAATAGGGCAATTCTTACGGTGTAAGTTACCACAAGTATGTAATGTTCAGTGGCTCACTTTATTTGGGTTTGCTTACGAGCAGCTTTGCAGTGTCTCTTTTACACTGTTACATACCATTCTGCACTCTCATCAGCAGTGCAAACGGCAAAGTTGTTCACTCTGTGCCTGTCCTCCATTAAGAGCCTGCAATGGTATTCGATATCGTGCAACACTTATTTGCAGAATGTGCCCTGGAAGGTGATCGCAGCTAAATTAAGTGCAACAAAAATTATCCACAAATCAATTCTAATTAGGCAGATCTAGTCTCCAGACACACACGTTTAGTCTGTATAGACACAGAAGTGCAATATATTTAACTCTCTACACAGTTACTGGCACTGTTCCTATAGACACAAACAGTTTGAGTTTTTTCTAGACAAGCAGCAATGGACGCCTTATGGAGTGAATGGCCCTGCCATAGGAATGTACATATTTCAGAACTGTCTCAGGATCACCAACGAAGATACGCACCGATTTAAACTCGCTTATACACAAGCACACTTCGACTACAGGTGAAAATTCCATTATGAATTTGGTGCATTGAAGAGGCTGAGGAACCTTGAGACGGATGCTATAATTTTAAATTGCAAATATTTAGCATTAAACACTAGCTTTATTAAACAATTAAGCAATTAAACTAAATGAGTACACTATCGGGGTGAACAGGTAATATCTGTTGAGGCCTGCTGTTTTTAAGATGCCCCGGAGTAAACAGCACTATTATCAAAATAATGCATTACTATGACTATTATTAGGTTGACAGTCATTAGGTGAAATCAATTCACTCTTCGGATCATTTATAATGCATTTCTAGGAGCTGTGTAATAATGTTCCTGAGCATATAACTACATTTTCAACTTTTTGGATTTTCAAACTTGGTCTACAAATGTATTTGTAAATACCTACCATGTGTAACAATAATGTTGAGTGTAAAACGTGAACTCACATTTTCCATAAAATATACGATCCGCATCATAAGTGAACCAGGTCATTCACATACAACCGTCGTGGGTGAACATGTGTGTGCCATAATGCAAAAGAGAAGCTTTGTGTTGGTATTTTGAGTCCGTGTGGAGGACACCGCTACCAATACAGTGCCTTCAATTTGCATCTACATCATGATGAGCACATTCTTGGTTTAATTAAATTCAGCCCTGCCTAGCCCAGCTCTGAGGTTTAAATTTGCAAATACTAAATAAAACATAGCTTAAACAACACAAACATAACATAAGGACATGTCATCCCTATCTTATGTAAATGTAAGATAAAATTAAGTGACCTCTATTGATGCAGTCCTCTATAATTTTCGTCCAGGGCCATTCCTCGAAGTGCAGGCCTGAGGCTCTGTTGGCTCTCTTGTGATAAAAACCAGAAGAAATATTAATACAATTGTAAAAAAATGTAACATAAACCGTTCACACCTGATGATGATTGCTTGTGTTGCAATCGAAACGTCGTGAGAATTTAATGGTTTTATTTTTATTATTTCCCTTATACGTGACTTTACAGAAAGAACCAAGAATATGAATATAAACCGTTCTGTCAACTCGGACCTTGTTTTGCTGAAGTTTTGTCTTCCACTGTGAATTCCTTATCTCTTAATCACATTTCTACGTAATTAAAGAGGTGAATATTGGATAATTTATTCATGTATATGTGGATGTCATCACCAGCTATATCTAGCTTGTGCTATTATCATGTAATTTTTGTGCAACTGTCTATTTCCTAAATTTGCTTTTCTCACCAACTCCCTTTTGAACAAGCTCCCTATATGTTCTTACCAGATGAACAACAAAGCATCTGACTAATTTCAGGCGGTGATGACATTTCCTTCCAAAACATCTTCATTCACAGCTACGTTGCATCAGGGAATGAACCCTGAATATGATTTCACAAAACCACGGTATTATTTCAATAAACCTCTCTTACCCAAACACGAGAAGGTGCTCACACAAGTTCACAAAAAAGTGGTTGCCATCTGTCAATCATATATTCTGGATTTGAATTACCTTTATAAGCTGTTACTGGCACAGTGAAGAGAAATATCAAGTGTATTATACAGTGGCTTTTCTGTGCAGTCATCGGTGACTGGGAAGACACCAATCATGTTTGATTCGAATTGATTGCATAAATGTGTTGAAGTCTCATTTAGATACATCCTGTGCTTCGACACACACTTCCGTGTGTGCTTATATTATGTATTAATCGGTTTACATTTTAAAAATACCCTTATTTAGTTTCTGCATGTCCTTTATTTAATCTGTTGAGGGTATATTGAGATGTATTACATGTTTCACAAGACACCCCACTTATCGATATAGATAGTTAATTAAAAAATTTAGAACAACCACTGATAACTTTGTGCAGTGCTGCTCATATTAATCCTCAAAGTTATGGTGGTCTGAAATAAGTGACTGGGATTTTGAGATAAACACTCTTAACGACAGCACTACCGTTTGTTAGTTAAACTTAAATAAATTAAACTAATACACAACCAACCATTTGCATACTACACAATTATATTTTGGAGAAATATTTATTATAGTGAGTCTAATTAAATACATATTATTATGGCATAAACACACGTATACAAATAAAATACATGTCCTGCTTAGCTTTATTGACTGCAAGTGCAGTTAGTGAACCCCTGTTGTATACACACCTCACCAGGCATTCAATTAATGTTGAACTGACCATGGGGAGGTCAATAACAGGTTCAGTTATGAAATTACCATGAATGTGCTTTCCTGGAAATGGAACCCAAGTTTCCAAGATCATAGTTAAGCATGAAGGGCACTGTCACACCACCCCAGCGAATAAAAAGACAAAACGCGGTTTGCGTTAAAAACTGAAGGAGAAAATTCTGATAGTGAGCACGTATTTATGTTGGCACAGCAATTGGGGTAAAAGTGTGGCCAGCACCATGCTGACACAGAACAGGTTCAGATACGACTTGCCATTGATGGTATTCGCTAGCCGGGAATTGAACTTGGGTTAAGTCGATTGTAGTGCAGTGTACTCACAGCACAAACCGCTCCCCACTTATACAAATACATATAAGTATACATATACGAAAGGTTACGCACACATTCATAGACACCCATATAGATATATACACCCAGGTACATGAGTAAAAAGACATATACACACATACAAGTACAGACAAGCCCATACAAGGCTTAAGATTGAAGCATTCAAGGTTCGCCGCCCACACTCACAGATTGCAGGCACAGTCTTTAACAAAAAAATTGAATGTGAATTGGGAACATTTGTGAGCGAATCAGGCCTGCATCAATCAGGACATACGAGGAGGGGAAAGGTGGTGGGCGGATGAGTTTCACAAAGATATCTCCCAGAGCCAAGCAAAAAGGCAAGCTGGATTCTCAAATGAGTAAACAGGCACGGGCACAAAATGAATGCTGTGACCATGGCATGCAATAGAATGTGGAATTTGATAGAGTTTGAGGATGTGAGGAATAGGGCAATTATAAGGACTGTAGTTTTGGCTATTATTAGGTCCAGGGGAAAATCTATTCCTACATTTTTCATAAAGCTCGTGTTAGGGTTATGGTTAAGTCTGGATGCGTTAGGTTGAGATGTAGAGCTATGGTTTATCATTTGGTTAGGTCGAGGTATTGGGCTCTGGTTAGAGAGTACTGTAAGGAATAGGGCTATAGTTAAGGCCGGGGCTAGGGCTAATATTAAGGGTTAGACTTCAGGATGGAACAATATTAATGGTTAAAGTTAGGATTATGGCTACCATTTTGATGAGTTGCATCGAATTCCATGCCAGGGTCAAGGATTAGGGCTGTAGCTAATGTTAAGTCAGGCTAAGTCTGTCTGGGGTTCAGCTTACAGTGGCAATGGTTAGAGTTAGTTGTACGGTGTGGGTTGGCGTGCGAGTCGTGCTGCCCCCTTACCTGGGTGCTCACGCTGCGCTGGGCTGAGCGCTCAATGTTATCAGGGAGGCCAAGGTCACGTGGGCGTCCCTCCTCAGGAAGGGCCTCGATGAGGGCACGGTAACCCTGCACGCGTGGGGGGCATGGACAGGAACAGGAGACACACGAAGGGACCATGAGGAGGAACAGGCGACTCGTAGGAAACAATCGAAGGCAAAAGGGAAAGAGGGATTCAGGGGGATGCCCCCTAATTCATAAGAAGCTATTTGGAGTGGCTTTTATGTAGGTTGAAATTATTTTACACTGTATGTCGCCAACCGTGCGAATAGGATGTGCGGGCGAAGGACAATAAAGTAAACACAAAAATCAGTTCTAAAGAAATTCGTTTTCAATATAGATTTAAAAGTGCATAGCTTCAGTGGCTTCCTAATGTCGGAAGGAAGAACATTCCAGATGGCCACAGAGCGTATCTGAAAGCACGCGATACAGTTACCATCTTTGTTCGATTGGCAACCAAAAGTCGCTGTGGGGGTGACCAGACTTTGCCTGATGGTTTATGCTCCTTGCCGAGATCAGCAAGATATTGTATTATTAGCAATGCGACCATATAATGTTTTCATTCGGAAACCGGAAGTCAATGCAGCTTGGCAAGCACTGGATGGACATGGTCGGATCTTCTTTGGCGCAACACGTGCCAAAAAATGTTGTGCAAGCTGCAGCTTGATAATGTTTTTGCCAGACGTCCCATAGAGTAGTGAGTTGCAATAATCGAGCCTTGTCGATACTATGCTACATGCCATCCCTAGTCTCGCCCACTTACCCTTGGGTTGTACCCACCACAAACGTATATAACCCTTGGTGGCAGTAGCTCTCTCGCTACATTTCCTCCTCAGCAGTCCGCCTGCTGTATTGTTTCACCTAAAGACGATGGCTTGTGTTGCTTTTGAAAAGTCGTAATTTATTAGTTATTTTTTCTATCTACGTGATTTTACCGAAAGAGCCAAAGAGTACACTAAATTTTTTTATAAAAGAGGTTGTCACGACACTGTCACTGATGCCACCACACCTAATCATCTCTACCGTCTCATCACTTTTCCCGCAAGAACCCGCAGCAGTTTCACAGATCACATCTGACCTCGAAGACCTGCTTCTTAGTATCCACCTTATAGAGTGGTACCCCATGTGGTGCCCTCTTGTTTAAGTGTGGCCTAATCAGTGATGCAGGGGCAAATGAGATATGGAACTGGGATGAATGGGAAGGGGAACAAGAGTTGCATGGCAATCAGACCAATTGTTTTAAATTTCAGAGATGATATAAGTGAAAAACTAAAAAAAGAATTATACACGTAGGCTTTCGCGACCAATATTATTCATAATAACGTTTTTTTGGTTTAGATCGCGTTATTTATAAATGTTGGAGGGTTAAGACACATTTATTAATAACGCGATCTAACCCAAAAACGTCTATGATAAAAGAATTATACTTTGTTGTGCTGGCATTGGTGAGTGGGCTAAGACCTTCAACATGCTACAACTAAGAACCCCAATTGAATCATGGGAAGATGAAACATCTATTTGAACCCAGGCTGTTAGTGGTCTGACACCTGAGCCACCTCAAGAAAGTATTGATTCAAATCATGCCGCTGAAATATGAACACATATGAACACATTCCTGCAGAGGGAGCTGGTAGGAACATTGGGTTGCTCGGTCAATGGCCAGGGTCAACGGTGGCGTGGTGTATTCCGCAAATATGGCCGACTATGAGGGTGGGCACAAGCTGGCGTGAGTAGGTAAAACGTTGAGTTTTATAAGGGCACCACGGGGTGACCAGCCCCTCCCTACCCAGCAACCCTCCCAACCCTCCCCTCCCCACTCAGCCCCTCCCCACCCTCCCCTCTCCACCCAGCCCCACCCCTCCCATTTTTGGATGCACGACGGACGGACACAATAATCCCCTGTGGGCTGGTGGAACCAGCTGGTTCCTACCAGTACAAGTCATTACATTATAAGGTAGGCAAATCGTATGTTTAGTGTGCTAAAGGGGCGCATGCAGAAATGGGGAACTCGGGGGGAGAAACAGAGGAATTTGCGGGGGATTTGGGGTGGCATCCCACTCACCGCGAGGTCAGCGGTGGCTGGAGGCGCGGGGCCCTGAGCGCGGGGCCCGAAGAAGCGCGAGAGGAAGGAACGCAGCAGCTGTGCATCCACAGCGTTGTCAACGCGGCCACCGTAGACGGCGCCCTCGAGAAGGCCACGCACATGCTCCCAGGGCAATGATGAGCCTTAACCACCACCAGCAGCAACACAGTTTTTAAATATAACACATCATTAGAGCACATCATTAGAACACACAATCGCATTACAATAAACACAATACAATTTCAGCTTGTATAGCGTCTACGTGCAACCTAAAAGTCAAGACACTTCACATTAATTGTCCTGTGTTTTTCAGTAATATGAATAACAACACAACCCATTTACATGTAGTACTTTCGTCTTACAGTTTTGAGATATATTATTTCCCCCACTCTATGTGATATGTCCCAGTTTATTGTACCTGAGGAGGCAAACCTAGCACCTACATGCTCAAGAAGACTGCTGTTTAACCAGATCAAAGGAGCCAAATACAGTGTGGAATAGAGAAGTACTGAGTTGATGTACTTCAGAAGAACAAGAGCTATAGGTACCAGGGGTGCGTGAATTCGTTTTTTATGGATGACGCTTAAAACAACAAGAAAATCATGTATTTGTGTTCATGGGCCTATATGAGTAAATGTACAGGGAGTCAATTAGTATGTTCATGAACGAGTGTTGTGTGTGTGAATGTCAGTAGTTGGCTGATGTGCCATCTGTTGAGGAAGTACCGAGGGTGATCCAGAGCCTGAGACCATATAAAGCACGGAGCTGAGATGACCTACCAAGCTTACTACTGAGGGAGTGTTGTATTTGTGTGCAGAATTCTCCATGTAACATGATTACAGCCGCCTGGTCCACAGGACGGGTTCTGTAGGATTGGAAGGATGCTCTAGTCCCAATTTTTAAAAAGGGGGACCATACTGATTGCAAATACTACTTGGGTATCTCCCTCAGTGTGCTGGGAAAGGTCCTGGCAAGTATTATTAAACATTGCTTTGCGATGCAGTGATCGTCTTTGTTTGATGGTTAGCCAAAAGTCGCTGCGAGGATGACCGGAGTTTGCATGATGGTTTATGCTCCTTCACAACATCAGCAAGGTATTGTGATTCATTTGTAGCAAGCAGTTTGTGTGTAATGAGTGTGACTTATAATGTCTTCATTCGACAAGTCAGCTATAACGCAGCAAGTTGGCACAGTGAGGAGCACAGGTAGTACATCTGCCAGTCATTTCAGTCAACCCATGGCACCTGGGTCTGTCCCGTGACCTCTTACCACCAAGCCTTTGACACTCCACGTGACCTCAATGTGCACCTAGCCTGGCACAAGCGCCGTGGTGACATCACTGCCGTTTAGTGATGAACAGTAGTTATTGCTCTTATTGTGTGCTTGTGTTAGAATGTGTATATGTATAAATTGGGTGCATGTTTGTTCATGTGTATGCACAGTATATGAATCAGTGTGTGTTCGCATGTGCGTATTAAGTAAAAGTCTGCGTTCGTATGGCATGTTCATGAATCTGTGTGTGTATAAGAGCCGGTGTTCATATGGAGATGCATGATTCTGTGTATTATTTTGTGTGAATGTGTCAGAATAAGTGTGTTCATGCATATAAATCAGAGCGTATATTGTTTGCACATGTGAATCAGTGTGTATGTTCACATGTAAGAATCCGTGTACATATTAATTATGGTGCGCATTCATGTATATATGCGCACGAACCCATCTGTGTGTGTGCGCGTATTTGTAAGAATCTGTGCGCGTGTACGTGTGAATAGGGGTGTTTGGCTGAGTGGGTGGATTCACGTGACCTTTTCCTGTCAGGAGCAGCCTTCAACAACAAAGCTTTCAGGGGACTGGGAGCAGCGAGCGGGACCTCATCTAAACGGTGTTTTATTTTTTATTTCCGGGGAACAAAGCAAAGAGGAGGGGACTGACACCCAGCTCAACGCATGCCTACCAGCTACTCCCATACACATATTCAGCACATACATGCATATACAGACATACATTAGCACGATAAAATTGAGAATAGTTTTCCCTTGTTTCTGGCAACAAAACAGGTGTTAAGATGATAATTGTTTTTTTACCCTCAAATCCCTATGTGATACGTACGACCATGAGGTTCCAGGTATTCTATGGGAACCTCATTTGCCAGTAAAAATATGATAATTGGTTTTTTACCCTCAAATCCCTATGTGATACGTACGACCATGAGGTTCCAAGTATTCTATGGGAACCTCATTTGCCAGTAAAAATATGATAATTGGTTTTTACCCTCAAATCCCTATGTGATACGTACGACCATGAGGTTCCAAGTATTCTATGGGAACCTCATTTGCCAGTAAAAATATGATAATTGGTTTCTTACCCTTCTATCTGGCACAAAACTGACACCTTTTTTTTACAAGGAGTCATGTTTGCATAGACCACAATACCTGCAGCCATAATGCAAACAAAAAACATAACTATGATAATATATGCACAAAAAAGGTGTCAGATTTGTTGCCAGATTGAAGGGTAAAAAACCAATTATCATATTTTTTACTGGCAAATGAGGTTCCAAAGGTGTTAAGATGTTAAAACAGCAAACTGAAACCTTTTGGCGTCCTCTGGTCTAACACCGTTTAGACGCTAGGCTCAAAAGAAAGATGTCTCTGGTGTGGACCAATCCGTTTCAAAGACAATGCATATATTATCAGAGTACGTTTTTTGTTTGCATTCTGACCACAAGTATTGTGGTTAACGCAGACATTATTCCTTGTAAAAGGTTTCAGTTTGGTGTTTTCAAATCTTAACACCTGTTTTGTTGCCAGAAAAAAGGAGAAAACCTATTCTCATATTTTGGTACTGGCAAAGGAGGTCCCATGATGACACGATAAAATGGTCTACCATTCTCTACCAAGTGGTGGCGATTTCAACCAGGGTGCTTGTGCCACATAAGGTGCAAAACGGGAAATGTGAATGAAATGAGGTAAGAGATCAGATCAAAAAGCATCTCAGATATATATACTACACAGGCATTAAAACATCCCATGTTGAATTTTAGACTGTTGGGCCAAGTGCTGTTCATGAGTATACATGTATAATTCCATTAAGATATTCAGGCATACATTAAATATTAAATTCTTCATTTACAATATATCTCCCATTAGCCTAAAAAACTGTACGAGTTAGGAAGTGCCTATTAAGATTGGAAGAGGATATGAAGTGAAGTTGTGACTCTGAAACCACACCCGGCAATCTTTGACTCAAGTGCCGGTGTCTACACACCACTGCAGATGCACATTGAAGACTGAGCTAACTTGAGTAGGCCCAGAACAGGCTCAAATAGCATTTGATACTGATGCTTATCTAAAGCTCAAAGATATTCATAAGTTACCAGATAAAGCAGGGATGTAGGTCTTGCAGGAATTCCATATACCTCTACTGTCACAGACTGACAGACAATATGGCATCCAGGCAGGACCTCCCTGGGCTGAAATAATATTCGGGCTCTGCAAGCTTCTTTTCAGCGTGCTTGGCAAGGCAATGTTGAATAATCCTTGCCAGGACCTTTCCTGCCACACTGAGGAGAGAGATGCCCTTGTAGTTGTTGCAATCTGTACGGTTGCCCTTTCTTAAAGAGGGGGACCACCAGGGTATCCTTCCAATGCTGTGGAACCAATCCTGTGGTCTAGACAGTTGTGATGTCATATAGGGCAGTCTGCACACAAATGCCACCCCTCCCTCAGCATTTTGCTTGCAAGATCATCTCTGCCCAGAGCATTTCCTGGTCTCAGACTCTGGATCGTCTCTCTATACTTCCTCCACAGATGGCACCTCAGCCAACCACTCAGAAGGAGTGGCTTTTTCTGCCAATATTTGAGGCACTGCAGTCCCAGCAGGGACGTCCCCACCTTGCCCCATGATGTTGTCTGGACTGAAGGAATTCCCCTCCCCCGAGACCTAATAAAAATGCTCTGCAAACCTACAGACCAGTTGCTCGGAGTCAGAGCTTGGATCACCGTTCTTTCCCTTAAGGATGGTGATAGGTGAGGCGCTGGAAGTTACTTTTTGATGGAATTAGAGTGATTTGTGATTTTGGGCTACTAAGGCAGATTCCATCTCTTCAGCAACCCGTGCCCACCACTCATCTTTGCAGCACCACATGGCTCTCTAAACCTCTGAGGGAAGGCTGCATGAGCCATAGTCCTGGATCTTATCCCCTTCCCCTCAGCATCTGGAGGAGGGGGGGCGATGCCAACCCGAGCTGCAAGTGATGTTGAAATTCCTGATTGCAACTATTGTTGGCTTGCTGAGACCAGCCCACTTGAGGATTTAAATGGATTACTAGATGGACACCTACCACCGGAGTGGAATAATGGCAGGCGCATCTTACAGATGACATGATCAACATCATGGCTTGCATCCATGATGTTATGTGGATGCACCGATGCAAGAACAGCGTGTTGGTAATTATAAGCTTATGGGCTGCACAGAAGTCTAGCAGCCTCCTACCATTATTATTGAGCTTATCTCGCCCATGCCTTCCAATCATTCAGATCCAGGTGTCTGTGTCATGATCCACTCATGCATTAATATCACCCAACAAGATGACTCTATCCCGAGGGACCACTTTAGCTAGCACCTGGAACAGGAAGTTATAGAAGACATCTGAATCATCAGCCTTGTCATCAACCTTCCACTCATTCATTTTCAGTGGGGGGTGTAAGCAACCACTACAATTCCTCTACTCTTGTTAATGGGGAGGCGAGCTCACAGCAGCCTCTGACTTACAGCTTCCCACACCTCACCGCCCACACTCTAACACCACCTTCATTCTTTTGTTCAAAATATGTGACACTCCCTGTTTTTTGGCAGTTTCTTGCCCCAAGTAGAGAACTGTCCATCCCTCATGATGACTGGGGCCAGAACCGGTCCACCGAACCTTCTGGATTCCACAGAGGTCGATCTCCCGACAGAGAAGTGGTAGCCTCTCTTCCGCAACCGGAGTCAGAACATTTCATGTGGCCAACCGCAGTAGTCTCCTGTTCCTGGAGGAACCACTAGACAGGGGGTTCAGTTTGGCTCTGTCATATGGAGTTTTGCCTGAAGGCATCATAAACACCTGTCCCCTGGGGTATCCTGAAGCAGCTTATTTAAGTGT